GTCACAAAAACAAACATTTCCACACATACCAAAAGCATCTGAGGTTTTATTTCCACTGAAACTGTCTCGTTCTCTTTCGGAGCAGTAACGTTTGTTTGTCTGTGTTGCCCCTTCATTCCACAAGTGACTGCAGCTGTTCATGTGTTTTTCTTCTCCTGAAAACTCGGGTATGAGTTGCCCTGCCCTGCTCAGTGCTGCCCTCTTGTGCTAAATCCACTCATCTGATTTGTTTTCCATCCATCCATGTTCTAATTCTTTTCTGTTTACCTCCCACATATGGAAACCTGAGCTGAGCATGAACAAAACAAAACAGCTCCGTGCGGATTTATCCATACTTTTTAGTGAACTAGGAAGTAGCCTGCTAGCTCACAAACATATGCAAAAGCATTTCCGATAGCAGAGCATGCCTAAAAACAACTAACGCACTTCCTTGTTTTTTTTCACCAATTTCAACAGTTCATCCTAAATAGAAATCTCAGCAATGCTGTTCAGCGTGTTTGTGTTTTTATGTGGACCTTAGCTGAACATGTTGCGTGACAACAATTTTGTGACATTCAAGCTTGCCTTGTGAGAGTACAGTTGACACAAATGCAGATGTCAGAAAAACAAAATCGGGAGACGAGAGTTTCAGTATATTTGTTACTTTTATTAATTATTATCATTATCAATCTTTTTTTCAAGTTTAGCTGCGTAACAAACTTTTTCTTGGCCATCCAATCCCCCAATGTCATTAAAATACACATTTTGCAATCCTAACAAATAGCGTACAGAAAGATAATAAAATAAAATAAGACACAACAGAAAACTACCTTTAAAAAAACAGACAGAACAGTCCCGTTTTACATTAAAAGGGAATCGAAACAAAAACTCTACTGAAAAAAATGTTTGATTAAATGTACATTTGCCCATGCATGGTTTGGACCAAACTGGCCTTTTTTTAAGCTCCCTTCTTGAACATGATCGTACCGTCAGCTGCATGCTAAGCTATGTTTGTGTCGTCCCTTCGCAATGAAATGAAGCTCCAACACGACGTTTTTTTTAGAAACGCACGAAGCTAAAACACTAGAAGGCGTGTAAACATTGACGTGAAATGCCATTCATGTGAATTTTATTGACGCGGAATTACGAAAACGAAATTCGAACATCGTTCAAAACTGCCCCTCTCCCAAAAAAAAAAAAAAAAAAAACACTTTTGCAATCGTTTGAAATCGGACGCCAACTCCCAGGGGCTCCCAAAAAGGGCAGAATCAAAGAACAAGAGCACATGGTCTGACAAAAGATGAAAAAAAAGCCCTCCAGTCTTTCCCCATCACTTCATTTCTTTTGCTACATTTCCAAAATGTAAACATGACCGTTTTGACTAGCCGCAAAAAAAAAAAAAAAACAAACAAAAAAAAAATACACATTCACTTGCCACAGTTGAAATTATTCTGTTATTGGAGTTTAAAATAAGGCATTTTTTGTGTCATTTTTTTACATGATGGGAGTTTGCGTTTTAGTTTTTTTTTTTTTTTTGCAATATTAAAGGCGAACTTTGGAATCAAGCTATTTTTGTAGACCATGTGACCTCTAAGCAGCAGGCACAGTACGAGCTCAACTTGGTCTTGCCAGCTTTATTTACAATTTAGTATGATTTAGTACGAAACGTAAAACCTGTTTCAGCATTTATTCATTGTCCTCGATATCCAGTTTAAGGTCCGTGTACTAGTTCGTGCTTTGTCCTCACTAGTTAAAAAAAAAAAGTACACAAGTAGAATGACAATGGCTTACTAATGACATTTTTCCCCCCACAGTTAGTGCCAATTTCACAGAACTTCTTGACAGAGTAAGACTTGGAGTTTTGTCCATTCTGCATCGGTGAATCACGGCAGAAAGGTGGAATTTTTGGGGGGCGGGTTCCTACGTGAGCCACACGTAACTTGGTGGGCATGCAAATTCAAAATGTAAATTCGGATGATTTGGAGTCGAATTATTTTGGTGTCAGAAACTTCTCTTTGACTTGAAATGTCACAAAGGCCTTGTTTCAAGTTTTTATATTGTTCAAATTGTTTTGAAATGTAAAAAAAGTTATTTTGTCTGCAACCAGCTTTTATGTGTTTGATTTGAAAATTCAAAGTTGAGAAATTGGAAAAACTCACAAAATGTGGACTTCCATTCGGGATAAATGGTGCAATGTTGACTATTTCTATTCGTATCATTCACGTGATGATTGTTGACTTCCATGTTACGTTAGTGACGATGGTGCAATGTGGGATGCGGCCAGATGCACATTGCAGGTCGAGTTATGCGTTTGGTGAATATAAACAGTCATATCGTGTCACTTGATATCGGCATTCTGTTGGAATTGTGCACTTTGGACCGGCGCAAATCCAGCCAAAGTGACAAAAACAGTGAGTAGAAAGAAAAAAAAAAAAAAGCATGAGCAGGCACTAGACGGGATTTCATTCACGGATAGAAAAATATCATTCTAAGGCTTATTCCTTCATTTTAGTCCTCAAGTGTTTTTTTTTGTGTTTGTTTTTTTTTTTTAAATAAGGCAGCAATGCAGGTTAAGTTTTTCTTCCCCCCTACCTGGTTATGTCATGACTATGTATGTAAACAGTTGAGAAGTACAAAAATAGTTTGATGTTAAATAACCGTGACAAGAGTAACGAAAATGCAAGAAAAAAAATAGATAGCAGGTGGGAGGGGTGTATTTCCTGTGAAGTGATTGCACAGTAAAATGTATCAATAAGACTACTGATGAGGTGACCTGTAGCACACTGCCTACTGGTTAGAACCCAAACCTTAAAACATTTAAAAGTTGCCCCCCATAAAAAGAAAAAAAAAAAAATCAGGATGAGAACTAGATTGAGGGTCCTCGGTTTACGTTAGTCCCGATTTATGACGGGGTTACAGACAGTGTGCAACGAACTCGTTTCTGCGGCGGCATCACACTTGTCATACTCAGTGTCATTTGATGGTTTTGTATCAATGTCTTTTTCATACAAATATTGACTGTAAATTATGACTTTACCACCGCGCTGGAATTGGCTGGTGATTGGTGACAACAGGTTGCAATTACAAGGAAAATGGTGTCAGGCATCGTCGAAATGTCATCAGAGTCACGAAATCAATTGAAAATGTTGATGAACATAAAGGCGCAACTTTATCCGGAGGAAGTTGTCAAATTCCAAGGGTAAACCAACGCAATTAATGGAATGAGGAAAATGTTGCGACATTACACAAATAGTCGTAGTTGTCACTTTAGAGGAAAATGCCTAATTTTGCATTACTGCAGTCACTTTAGGAGGAAAGGTAGAGGTCCACGGTTATTTTCCGTGGCTAGAGTGGGAATATTTCAAGACAAGAGTCCATTTCATGAAGTTCATTTTGCAAATATATGTTCAAAAATTGACATGCGTAATGTTGAAATTGAATCCATGCATGCGGTAGCCTCAGGCACAGAAGCCCAGACTTCTCTCTGCCCAGCTACTGCTTCCAGAAGGATCCCAAGGCCTTCCCAGGCCAGCCGGGAGACAGAGGTCGTTGTCTCTCCGGTGTGTCCCGGGTCATCCCTGGGGTCTCCTGTCGGTGGGACATGCCCGGAATACCTCGCTAGGCTGGCATCCTAATCCGATGCCAAACTCCCATGCGCCCTTCAAGGACCCTGGCGAGAGTGCGGAGCTGGTCCACATTTACATGGCCCACAGCTTCGACCAGCCGCCTCGACGACGGAGGCACGGGACGCGGTCGGAACTGGCATCTTCCTTTCCCTGTCGTCGGAGCCAAGACACCAGCAGGTGGTGATCGACTGACATTTCGACCCCTCGCTTCACCCGAGCGTCCAAAAGCGTGCAACTCCGGAGTGGAAGATAGTCTCCGTGTCCCCAGAGGTAGTTTTTGTATCCGGGGATCAGACGGCCAGGGTCCCTTGCCTTTTTGCCGCCGCCCAGCTCACAGGGCACTAGACCCCACCCACCCACCCACCTCCCTTTGGCCCCTCCCCTTTTGGGGTGTACCCGTCCGAGCCTCGTGGGCGCAACAGGCGCTCGCCAGCGAGCCCCACCCTCCAGGTTGAAATTGGATAAGAATTGAAATATACGGTCGAATTTGTGACACAAATCGTCAACGTTATGACAATAAATGATATTTCGACATGGTTCAATTTCACAACGAATGGGATGACTGACCATGACTGAAGGCGCCGTTTTAGATGCTCTTAGTCCTAATTACTTTGCCGCCATAGGAAAAGGACTTGTCGAAAATCGAGGACCCTCCCTCCACCCCCCCCCCAACCGTGAGAACATAATGACATCAGCTACATCATGTACATGTTAAAAAAAATATATCATAAAAACATTCCAAAAAATAAAAATAACAAGCAGGCGGGCTGGTGTGCAACACGCGTGACCCCTGAGGAGTGAAATAGCAAACCTTCATTTTGTTTACATCCATGATCGGGGACGGACGCGCCCTTGACCCTCACATTCTCTCACACACACACACACACACACACACACACACACACACACACACACACACACACACACACACATTTGTAACATGTAATATTTCCATTAAGAAACCTACCCCACCCCTCAAAAAAAGGAAAAAAAAAAAGAAACACTTATTCTGTCGTACCAAGTCTGGAAGAAAAAAAAAAGTATTTGCCTTTACAAAATAACATATAAGAAAAGTGTAGGAAATTGCATGTTTTTGTAATAGAACAATCTTATTATTGTCATTCTTATTAATATTTCTATTATTATTGTTGGATACAAATGTTTAAGCAGGTTAATTAATAGATTGTTGTTTTGTTCTATTATCAGGCAGGCAAAGGCAGCCAGGCACGTCGCGAGGATCACGGCACGGAGGCAAGTATGAAATCGTCACTTGGTTCCGTCCGCGTGAGACACGGAGAACAGTTCAGTTTCCGGATTGGCATCACTTTGGAGCACTTTCGGCTGATTTCGGATAGCTGCGTCCATGTCAAAAACAAAGAGTCTTGGGATTTGGAAGTTTTTTTTTTTTTTAGTTTTTTTTTAACCCAACAGCAGAAGATGCGCTGATCCACTTTTGACACCGCACGAGTCCAAATCAGATTTGGTTTTTGCACAGCAGAGCGGGAGAACGTACGCCGATTGTACCGCTGTAAAAAGCTGCAAAGCCGCTCTGATACCATCAAAAACCGTTTCTGTCGAGTCATCGTTTCTCCGTGAGTTTTCTCCCATCCAAGCGGCACTTCGCAGGGTGATATTTCTATTCCAGCATTCGGATGTGTTTTGTAACAGCTCGCCTTCGGGAGCGTGCGTAATGTTCTCGAGGGGCATCAATGACCCTCCGTGTTCCCCTTGTCCAGCTCTTCATCACCGTGGAACGCCATCGTGCTGCCTTCAGACATCATTTTGCTACCTTCCTCACTTTCGTCTGTGGCGTCGTCGCAGGAAATGTCTTTTTTTGCACCGTGGGGGACATCACCGCCTCCGACTTTTTCCTCCGCTTTCGATTCGGCCATCAAATCCTGACTCTTCGGCGTCAAATCCGGATGCTCCGGTTCCAAATCTCGATGTTCGGCCTCCAAATCCAAATGCTTCTGCGTCACGGCGGCGTCGGCGACGGCGTTCTGCTCCTTCGCCGGCAGCGTCTTTTTGTCCGAGTGGCGGTGTAAGCCGCGCTGTATGTGCGTGGTGAAATCGTAGCGGTCGGCGCAAACGTGCAGGCAGAAGCCGCACTGAAATGGTTCCTGGTCACCATGACAACTCATGTGCAGCGCGTACATGACCTCATCCAAGAAGTAGATACCGCAGTGCAGGCAGCGGTTGCTGGGCTCGACCTGGGTGGCGACGTCTGCAGTGGCGCGGGTGGACGGGTTCCCGTCTTCCGCCTGCCGCCTGGCACCGCTTTCCTCATCGTCAACTTTCAGGCTTTCGGATGGAGGAGACTCTCGCTTCTTTTTTTCCGCAGAATCGGTGGCGTCCCGTTGCCGTATGGCAAGGTCCAAAGGCGCTTCGCTCTCCATGGACGACGACGACGAGGTTTGAGGGTGGAGAGGTGGGGGCGGGTATTGGGCCGGGGCGGGCGGCGGCGGGAGCGGCGAGTATGGCGAGGCGCAGTAAGGCACCGCGTAGCTCTGCGGGTGGTGCTGCTGCGGAGCCACCATGGCGCCCAGGTAGTGCGCGTTGTTAGCTAGACCGGCCGCAGCGCCGAGGTTGCCCATGCCGGAGGCGGCGGCCATCTTGTACTTGGTCCAGAAGCGCAGCCAGTCGGACTCGGGCGTCAAGTCCGGCGAGAGCGTGAGGGGCAACGGCACCGGGAACAGCGGGTACTGGTACTTCTCAATGGGCGAGCCCGGTGGAGAGTAACTGGACGGTTTGGATGGCCGCATGTACTTCTCAATGGGACTCCCTCTTTCCGAGCTGCCCCCGGAGCCGACTTTCCCCGCTTCAACTTTGGCCAGCACGTCCGCCACCTCGGAGGACGCCGGGTGCGACGGGAGCAACAGCGGCGGCATGCGGCGGTGTATCTCCAGCGTCTGGTTGGCCAGAAAGGCCTGCGTGGAGCGCGGCGAGCGCGAGCGCGGCGACGGCTGCTGCTGGCTCTTGACCGGCGCGCAGCTCCTGTCCGCCTCGTCGCCGTTGACGCGCTCCTCGCCGGTGGCCCGCTGCTGCTTGGGGGCGGGGTTTTCGGGCGGCAGCGTGTCCGGGTTGAGGCGCTTGCGGGTGCGTCGGCGGATGATTTGCTCGCCGTTGTTCTGCTTGATTATGTTGAGAGGTCTGGGCGTCTGCAACACAAGGCGAACAATGTCAGGATAGGACTTTGATCTATTTTCTCGAGCGATTGACCCACCACATCCCAGAGTTGAACCTGCACCTCCTAACTGTGGGCCAGACGTGCCACTAATTTACCGAGGCCAGCAGACTATCACTTCATGTTTGCACATCATCTTTTCATTTACTGCCTAGTTCCTACACTGACCACAAGGTGGAGTCCTTACATCTGACAATTTAAGCTGCAATGGTAGTCCAAAGTTTACAAAAAAAAAATGTAACTCAACCTCTCAGCGGGGCATCCATTTAAAAACATGTTTATGATTATAAATACTACTTGAGGCTACTTTAGATCAGGGAGTCAACAACCTGATGCGTCGCCTCCAAGGACCAGAGGAGCACCGTATTCTAAAAATAGCTCGCCGGTGATGGGACATGATGATTTTCCTGGAAAGTTGTACAAGCGATTCTTTGAACATGTGAGCACTGGCAAGAGACTTAACGACAAATAGTGTTGCATATTCATAACCATCTGTTTGCTAATTGTCAGCAATCATTCATATGATCGGTTGGTCTTCACAGAAATGATCATCATTCAAAACATGATGAAATGATTAAAGGTAACCCTGGTGGTGTGCATCGCATTAATATCAAAGAAGTGCTTCTGAGTTTCAAACAAGGTTTTCGACCTTGGTTTGGATTGAATTTTGAAATAATTTTCGACAGCGCTTGTCCTCTGTGAGGTTGCGGCTGAAGTGGAGCCGACGCCAGCTGAGCTTGAGGGAGAGGGCGGGATAAACCCTGGACTGGTCACCAGTCAAACACAAACAGTCATTCACACACACAAAAAAAATAATAATGAAACATTTTTGACAATTCAGTCTGAAATGAACCAATCGGAACTTGAATGAAAGCACACTCAGAGTCAACGGAAGCGTTTCAGCGCCGAATGAGACAGAACAAGGAGAAAGTGATTCACGGCGTCAAAAGAAAGCGTGTCCATTTCAATCGCGAGCCAACCGAGGCGACGGAGAGTCGACAAGAGTGAATACAAACGGCGAACCGCTCCCTCCCGCACCCGCAACTCCATATTCATAACTCTCCCCGTGCACTCTCACTCAGCCAAGCTTTTTCTTCCCCCCCTAGCTGCGATCCTCCCTAATAATGTGTGTCGAGTAAATAAAACTTTTATCGCGGCATGTAAAATATGGCCGTCGTAGCGACCGGCGAGAGGGAGGGACCCAACGGGACGACGGCGGTGCGGTTTTAAACCTTATTTCTGGTCTACCGTTCCTACCCTACTCATGACACATTTGTGAAATATATCAACAGAAATTATAGCAACCTTATTGATTTTGATGATGGCATTTTTGCTACATTTGAACGGCAGAGTTGGACTCATATTTCAAGCTATTGTCCTGTAATTCGGATCGCCCGACCCGCAGTTTGAGCCTCCATTGAGGGATTGTCAAGCAGGCGGCACGTTTATGAAATCAACTCTGCGGTATATGACGGTGGAAGCACCTCGCGGTGGAACAAGGCCGTCTTAAAAAGTCAATATGCAAACATGTGCCGATGCGTGAAATGACTCCAAAGTCCGCAAGAGCACGTCTGAGGCGATGCGCGCTCGAAAGCCAGCCGATTCCGGAACCCGGGTGTCGTTATCTCATCTGTAATTCATGCCGTCTAATTAAGTTTGGGATTTCCATCGTCTTTCCCCAGGCTGGAGACGGCTGGTCGGCTTCGGCTCGGTTCACGCCACAGCGGTTCGCGCTCCAGAGGAAGCCGACTCGAGGTCTGCGACTCCCCGGCAGCCAAATCAAATATACTTTGCACAATATTATGTTTCCACAGCAGGAGTCGCAGCGCGACGGATCTTAAGGGAGCACAATTTGCAGCGTTTATTTGATTTGCTAAGGGTGAACAGATGCGCAGTCTTCTGGAGCCTCGGACCGCCGAGCGCAGTGTAGTGCTCTCGCTACCGCGCGCATTAGCCATGTTTCCACTCGGGCTGAACAATTCCTCAAATCCAATTCGAGATTGCTATGTATTAGAAGTCAACCATTGAATCGCTTATTGAATGTCTTATAAGACCAAAAAAAAACATTTAGGTATGCTAAGTCTGAGATTGTTTACTGTAAAGCAGATTACCGTATTTTCCGTATTTTAAAGCGCTTTGTTATAGCTGCCGCAGTTGTGAATGCTCGAAATAGACAAAGCTGCATGTATTGTATTCCCTTTAGCGTAGCTCCATCTGGTGGATGTATAGTGCAAACGCAGCCACTATGGTAGCTTCTATTTTATGCGCCTTATAATGTGGTGAAACGGTTGAAAACGGTTTTAAAATAGGCCATTCATTGAAGATGCACCTAATACTCCGAAGCGCCTTACAGTGCGGAAAATACGGCAATTATTATTATTTTTCAAAATTGTTTAGACAAGTTTCCACCACACTGTCGAATTGGTGTTCTAAGGGTGTCCTTGGGCCCAAAAGGTTTGAGAATCACTCGAGTTTATTGAGGGAGGGGGATATCTCCAATTGTGAACGGGGCGAGGATGCGGGCTTACCGAGTGCAGCTTCTGATAGAGGCCGCAGGCGTTGCAGACGTAGCCGCCGTTGGCGTTCTTTCTCCACAGCGACGTCTTGGTCGTCAGACAGTTGGCGCAAAAGACACCGCTGCCTCTCCGCCGCTGGAGCACCACAAAGAAAACACGAGATTGACGTCAGGGAGAGGGCAAAAGTCAACGCAAACGGACGATGAAAAGTAAAGACAGAAGAGGAGTTTGGAGAGGTGTTTTGCAGGTAAATCATGAACGAAATAAGTAGACAAGCGCACTGTGTCGAACAGAAGTGGGCGAGGTGAACGGGCCGATCGGCGTGGCAACGTGCTCCATCACTGTAATGAGCCAATCACAGCGTTTCTCCATCCATTAAGTTTGTGGTCCCCTAGGTCGCCGCCTTGACGATGTTGCTACCTCATCCTTTTCTCCTCCACCATGCCAACCATGCCTTTATTTTCTTTTATACCAGTCCATCAATATCCACTTGCAATTTTGTTTTATATTGACTTTTTTTTTTTTTAATGCTTCACACAGCATAGAAAATACAGTGGCGCGTTGGCTGTAGAGTTTCATTTGTTCCAGTTCTCTCCATATATCAAATTGATTTTCCAGCATGGAAATTAATTGAAATATCACAAATCAGTTGCCGAGCCTTTTCTGATATATTTTTGCAGGAGGTGACGCCTGGTTGTATGGGTGAGGCCAATCTTGAAATCGTCGTTGCACTGATGAATCAGGAAAAGTTTCAAGTGCAAAAAAACGACCTCCCCCAAAAAAAAAAACAACAACAAAAAGCACACACCCTTTTTATCAAAATTGTCTTTGATTTAGACCAGTCGGCATCTGAAAGATGCCACTTGTATTGTTTTCTGCACTTGAAACTGACAAGTGTAAGAGTTCGCCCAGTGTAGGTCTCAGTGGCTACGATAAAGTCGCCGGTCTCACACGCACTGTAACATGCGTGACGCGTGGCGCTAAAATGCGTGACCTAATGAGCGACGTTAGCAGCTCTGACTCAGGATTAAAATTTTTTCTGGCAGCACAAACAAGAAAAGTTGGGCCAGCGTTCAAATCACGGCAACAATGCACCGCATTTGGCATTGATGTCCAACACTAAGAAGTACAGCTCCATGATGTTCTCACTCGTATAAACGCTATAAAATTGTCTCTCTCTGTGCCTTGCCATCTTTGGCATTCTCTCCTCCTGTCGACTGTCCGCCAGGACCTTCTCCTGTCAAGGCAGCCCATCTTCTCGCTTTATGTTCTTGACACAGTGGAGATTTCAGCATACTTTTGGGGAGCAGGTGGGATTGGGGGGGGGGGGGGGGGTGGGGCGTTTAAGCAGCCGGTGCGATCACATTTTCACAAAAAAAGCGCCTTCACTTCACTCGGGGACTCTCCGAGCTGTTGCAGATGGAGCCATGAGCAGATCTTCCAAGAAGCATCTGTTTTCGGGGGGCCGCCAGCGACAAAGCAGACGGGCTCAAAGGGGACAGCGCTGCTACCTTTTCAGGTTGTTTCTCGTTTTTTTGGGGGGGGTGGGTCGCTAGAAATGTGTTATTCTTGAAGAGTTAGGGATGCAAATGGGGAAAAAAAAATTGAATCTGGCTGTCATCAATCACAATTAGAAATTGTTATTTTTTTATCGTTTGAGTGTTAATTTTCCTCATTTTTGATGTAGGAAAGGCAATGAAATAGCCATCTGTGTTGTGGATATGTTTGATCATAATGCAAAATTCTTCAAAGATTTTTAGGCTACTGTGTTAGGTAACAAAGTTGATTAAAAACAAAAAAACGGCTGAATTTTCTTCAAAAAATTCTTGATATTATAATTGATTGTGTAGCAAAAATCATATAGCATGTAGATAAAAGTGTTGGAAACAAGCTCCGTCCTTTGTTTCTAGTCATGACGCAATGAGACCGCATGAGGTGCACGTGGAATGCAGTGGAGAACTAAACACACACCACCTCTTGATCTAAACAACACATTGTTTACACTGACTCGCAGTACAAGGTAAAACCTCGACCAAGGAGCCACATGCTGCTTCACCGAGCCTCAAGCCATGACGACCTGATGACATGACGCAGCCCGCTCTGGTACATTTCCATCACACGGCAAACACCCTTAGACAGCAGCCTGCTCAAAACGACAAACGCTCCACAAATGTTTGTTGAATGTTCCTACTGTTTCGCAACAATGTTTTAAAGATGGGACCAGAAGGTTGTTTTTTTTTTTTTTGTTTGTTTTTTTTGCCAAGCAGTGATTTAAAGTGCTTTCCCTCGCTCTACTTTAAAGCTCCACCGACATCATATCAGACATTGCAAATATTTGCAGGCTAAGACGTTTATTTACCCCGGAAAGCCTCCGCGCACCCGTCTCCAAGTGAATTGGAGGGGGAGGGGGGGGGGGGGTGTAATTAAACATCCTGTTCCAAACATGTATGGAATAAACAGCACAAGGCTAATATTGGGATTCTTTATGGTACATGTGTTGCTTTCTGACACGGGACCCTGCACAGATCCAAATCCTCTTGCTGGCAAAGCACCCTGAGTGTGCGCGCGCCCGCGTGTGTACACACACCATACGGTCACCACATGTAGCGAGACGGAGCCAGGTGATTGATTGATGTACACTTCCTCTTCGAGTGTGTGAGAGAAATGGTGTGTGTGTGTGTGTGTGTGTGTGTGTGTGTGTGTGTGTGTGTGTGTGTGTGTGTGTGTGTGTGTGTGTGTGTGTGCGTGTGCGTGCGAGCGCGTGCGTGTCGTCCTCCACAGGCCCGACAATGTGTCTGTCATCAGAATTTAGCTTCTCTCCGAGCGAGCCAAATTACTCGCATATGGCCGCGCAGCTGCCCCTCCTCCGTACGGGACGCTGGGCGGACAAACCGCCCGCACGCATGCACAGAATTCATCTTGAGCGGAATCAACATTTTATCTGTTAAGGATAGCAGCCAGGCTGTGCGCTACACAAACATCGAAAGGCAAGACGACAGAGGCACGCACACACGCGCACACACACACTAATCACAACATTGACCAGATGGGGACGCTTTGTTTTCGCAGGGACTGGACAACATTTCCCTGCAAAGACAAATGTCCCCACAGTTTCAGATGGGATGGTGAGTTAGGCAGAAACGTACACACACGAGCGCAGTGCTCATACGCATCAGCCAAAACGTCCCCAGTAAAAGGTGCCATGTCACGGTTTGTGCCCCGCAATGACAGAAAGACGCTGACACAAACGCACACAATACGTCAAGTTAGGTAAGGCAATACAAGTGTGTGTGTGTGTGTGTGTGTGTGTGTGTGTGTGTGTGTGTGTGTGTGGCCCAATGTCGCCCTGACTGATGTCAGGCAAGCATGTAATTTAGCTCCCGAGATTGTAAGTGACACCTACTTATCAGCTGCCTATGACACTGTTCCATTTGTACCAAACACACACAAAACGCGAAGAAGGAACTTTCCCGCGGTGGAAGGAAAGTTAATTCTTGGCCAACATGCTGCTAGTTTAAAAAAAAAATGTCATGATCGTTCATCTCACTATAAAATAGCAACGTGGATTCCTATTTACTCTAGTGAAGACGTGACGCGGAGGCTCAAAAAGCGCAGAGTGCAACAAATGGTGTCAAAGGGCAAATATCAACAATATTCAGTGATCTTTAAGTTGTTTTTTTTCTTCTTCCCCGGAGCGCACACAAAGCTTTCCGACGCTGAGAGTTTTATGGCAACAACAATAACATGAACAACACAAGTCGGCATGTTCCGCGTTGAAATGCCAACTCATCACATGAAAGCACTTAAACTGGATTTGCGGAGGGATAATGCGCTTGGAGAATTTTTAGGTATGTTCATTTTATAGTATTACATTTAGGTTTTTTGTTTTTTATTGCTGTCCTTTATCACAGCAAAGCATGTTTTTAGAGAAATGCGCAGGAATTTTGTCATACAATATTCATTTTGAAAAAACATTTTTTAATTAATTAATGCATTGCATTATATGCTTTAGACAACACAATTGCCACCGTGACTTTGAATGTAATAGCACACTAAAGTTCTGCAAGAGCACATTGAGGAAACAAAAAAAATGCGCCCGGCAGACTCCAATAAATTGTAAAAAGAGGCTTTTCTTGCAGAACGAAATGACATTGGATTCACTTCTGTCTTCTCCAGAGCACATTGCGCACACACGACGACGCGCTTTAAATCAGCCGTTATTTAATCAGCCCAGAATGCTACTCGCCGAGTGAATTAAAACCAAATTCCGTCCCGACAAGTCAAAAATCCCATTCGCCAGATCAGTCTCTTCATTGCGCGCGTGCGCACACGCATGGAAAGGAAATGTATACACTGAGCTTGTTAGACACGTCGACACAAAGTTACTCACCACGGCGCGCCGGGCCGCATCTGGGAGCCATCGAGCAGGCAAGCTCCTTGGAAATCAGGCTACCAACCGTCAACCGCTTGTGTGACCGGCATATGCTTCTACTGTGCGAACTTCACGGAATCATCAGGTTGGCGTTGAATGGATGTAAAGGTGATGTGACTGTTTTCAACGGCAGCTTTGGCAGGAACAACCGGGCGCTTTGGAGGACCGACAGACGGCAAAGCAGACTGTTGCGCAACGAGCCGCCATTGATGATAAATACATAAGCGGGCCATTCGACGGACTTGGGAAAAAGTCCGAGGAGATAAGGGGGCGCAACAAATGCGATACTACTGTACTTCCTGCATTCCGAAATTATATGGCGAGAGCCGGCGCGGCTATCGCCAAAAGACTACAACAGCGTACGTCTCGCACGCTGACAAATTGACACGAATCGACGGCAGCCGGGTGATAAATTCCCCCGGACCGGTTTATCAGCTGGCCTAACATTGTTGGTGTGGAGAAAGAAGAACAGATAAAACATTGCCGCTCCAACAACATGTGGCGGTTGCCTGGCGGAATCTATAACGTGGTTGACACGGCTCCGGGAAGAAACTGAAACAAACAGTGAAGGCCCTGCGAAGTCAAAGCCGAGATTTGCCTCGTAATACATTCCCCGTGCTGTGTGTGTAAGCTAGCCTGCCTGCGTTCTCCTTTTTATGATTACAGACCCGAGTAATGATTCAATTTTTGATGATGAGACTCC